ATTTTGTAAATGTTAAAACTTACTTCGATGTCTTGACTTGTTCGTACGCTTGACAGTTAGCACGGTAACTGGCAATCTGTTCAGGCATAGCTTTGGAGATGGCCTCCTTCAGTTTCTGGATGGCATCATCCACGTCGGGGGGTTCCTCCTGGTCGGCATAAGATTCAAGAAGTAAATTACATCCGAATCAAAACACAGTTGAAGCTAAAACTCGAACACCCTCACCATGTGTGTGAGTAACAGTTTCTTCACACGTTTGAGGAGCGTTTCTCTGCTGCAGGGCAGGAAAGACGACAGGTGTGTGTACAACTTGGAACGCAACTGGCCGGTCTGTCCCCGACACTGCAACTCAATCCTGGACCAGGACAGAGTTTAACACCATGTTCAATATTAATATATATACACACACACACAGATTATTACCCAAGTGCCCTTAGGCAGAACACATCTAATGAAGCTTTCCACTTTTTCTAAATTGCGAGATTTTACATTTTGCAGAACTTTTCCTGCCTGTCCCCTTTACTCACTCGAGCAGGATTGAGTTGATCTCTGGAGTAAAGAACTTGAGTTTAGATTCTCCCTCTGAGATCTTGACAACCTGGAAATAAAACATTACGATCACCTGTGGAGCCTGAGTTCAACAATTTACATCCGACAGCACAAGCCACACACACACACACTGAACCTCACCGTCATGAGTTTCCTAACACTGTCCTCCAGTGCGGGTGTGAGCCCCTCTGGCAGGGGGGCACACAGCTGGGATGAACTGGCCTCTGACAGGAGCTGGATTTGCTCTGGATGAGTCTTTGGCTGAAAAGGAGTCTTTGTGTTTGGATGCTGAGCGACGGTTGACCCGGTTTGATCGTTTACTGTGGGTTGGAAAAGCTGCGTTTCTGTGGCCGGTGGAGGAACCGAAGATAAAGTCTCTTCACTGTCTAACAAAGAAACCAAATCTATGTCAAAGTCCACGGTGCTGGCTGCTTGGATAAGGACGTGGTCATTGGTCGATCCGATTAAACTAACGAGAGGATCTGCGAGTCCGGAGCCTCCACCGCCGGCCGCATCTGCCGGGCACAGAGGGATTGTGGGTACACCCGTGACCCCTGCTGCTCTCTGATTCACCTTTCCCAGTTTCTGTCGTTCCTTCTCCTTCTCTCTCTGAAACTTCTTCAGCATGCTTGTGACGCTTAATGTGCTGACACGCTTTATCTTCTTTCTGTTCTTCGTCTCGTCGTCAGGTCCAATTTCAGCTGAAGTGCTGAAAGACGTTTAAGAGAGAATCAAATTAAACTAAAAGTTCCCGTATCAGTAGACACGTGTTCTCAGAGAGGAATATTAACCCGATTATAAAGAATAAAGTGTTTGAATTGATTCACTTCATTGCCACTGTAACATTATCTTCTTCTCCTATTGATCAGTGACTCGTCTCGTTCGGTTGGACTAATTTGGTCTTTTGGTGAGGTCGCTGGTCTAAAGCACTGCTCACACCTGTTATTTTGGTTCAGACTAAACCGTAAAGTCCAAAAACCAATCAACATAGATGTAAAACCCCTGAAGACACTGGCATGAAAACTGCCTCTCCTGCTTACCTCAACCTGAATAAGGTCAAACTCTGACCAAGCAATAATCCAATTAAGACAACGTCCTATTTGGGATTTCACAACATGTCAGTTACCACCTGCATTCAGGTGAGAGCGTAACGTCAGTGTATGAAGCAGTGGCTGTAATGTTGCCGTGAATCGTAGTCAGACTTTGTTCTGTAACGTGTAAACTGACTTTCTCACCTCGACTTGGAATCCACATTGTTTTTCGTCTCTTCGTATTCTCTGCACGGCTTCTTCTTCGGCTTATCCTGTCCACCATTGAGTTTACGTTTCTACAAAAAAACGTTTGAAGACGTAAAATAATTCCTGCTAATATTGAAAACTTTAAAATGCGACACACTGGTGCAAAGAACAGTTTTAGAAACAGTGTTAAAAAATATCTGCTAATATTTAAACGTGTGCTTCACATTGATGCACTTTCTTACTTTAGAGGTCTCCTCTGTTGTGAGGTCGATGATCTCGGAGATCTCGGAGTCAGAGGCCTGGCGGAACTGCAGCACGCCCGAATTCACATAGAATCCACCAAACTTTGTTGTGATGGCAGCTGGAACAAATTCATCGTACTGCAGAAGATCAAAATAGGTTTTAGTCAATAAGGTAAATTTAAAGAAAGCATGTAGACAGGCCTTCGCTCACTAAAGGTCAAACTCCAGAATCAGAGTGACCACAATTCTTAAAATTTAAACTGATCCTCTCCTGCAAACCTGTGTAGTTAGTTAAATATGCCGATATAAAAATATAAAGAAATATGAACATGACAAGAATTCTGGGTAAATTCAAATGTGTGATTTAATACTGGACTCACAGCCTCCGAGTTATCGATGAAAGAATCCTCGTCATCATAACCGAACCCAATATCAATCAGGTCCTGAATGCGATCCTTCTTTTTGTTTGGCTTTGGAGAAGAAAATAAACACAGCTTTTATTTTTTGCACGACATGAATGATGAAGACTTTTTTTCCTCAGCGCGTCCATGGAAAAAAAATAATAATGTGTTCTATTCACATGTGATTCAGTTTTGTAAAAACACTTCTCACATATTTTTCCTCAAACTTTCTTGCAATGGCAGCGACTTCATCACTCTCCCTCTTTTCTGCCTCTTCCATTGTTCTCAGCGGAGCTTCATCTCTGGAGCGTTTGAGCTACAAAAGAAAAAACTATGAATATTCATCATCACGTGCTCATCTACAGCTTAAATGTGTTCATGCATCTACAATATGAAACTGTGATTTAGGACAAAAAGAGGTACAACATCCAGAAAAAGGTTTAGCAGCAGAAGGAATCAATAAGAAGGTAGTAATATCTTATTGTTTTAAATGTAAAGGAAAATAACTTTAAGATGATCAAGCAGATCAATTCTTCCTTTAGCCTCCTCACTGTGCTTGTACCACATACTGAAACCTACACAGGGGGTTTGTTGTACTGCTACTGATGAAACTTGTGATTGTTAAACCCACCTTGTCCTGTGTGAGCTGAGTGAAGCTGAACTCTGGAAACCTGCTCTCATCGGACTCAAACAAGCTGAGGACCAGACGAACCGTGGTTCTGTCCGGACGGTTCTCATCCGCCTGCAGGACCGAACCTGAGGGAGACTTCTGGACCAGAGGGTCTGATGAAGATGAGGAGGAGGAGGAAGAGGGTGAATCACAGGATAAAGTGGTGAACTGAACTCTCCGGGACTCCGCCATGACAGCAGCTGACAGAGGAGGACTGAGAGGTTTGGTTTAAACATGGAGGCCTTCATTAGGAGGAACCAGATACAGGTGTGCTGAGGTCAGCCAATTAAACACTGGGGATATAACATATATAAAACATATACTATATATACTGTATATATATAAAACGACATATATAATATATAATAATATATAAAATAAAACCATGCTGAATATTTGTCCAACTAACATCACTTCAAATGTCTGTCAATAGGGTGAGTTCAGGTCATGTGGGACATCTCAGCTTCAGTCTGTTTGTTTCCTGTTCTGACTAAATCTAGTCAACAGGACTTTTATTATGAATTAGCAAAGACATCATGTGCCTGAGATCAATTCCCTGAAATATCCTGACATGGTCAATGACATAAGATCCTGACAGGATTAATGTGAAGGATATAAATGTGTCATGATGAGGACAATGTTCCTAAACATGTTTGTGATTCTGAAACATTTTATAAATCAAATAAATGTGTTTTGAGTGAAACACTCCAATGTTTCTAAGTAATACTTGAGCTTTTTCAGTGATTGCAGACGCATACAAGTACAGACTTACAGAAAAGTCTCTTCTTCACCACAAGGGTGCGCTGGAGATCCATGAGGACGAGCACAGCATACGTTAAGTGAAAAGATAAATAGACAGTTTACCTTAAATACACCAATAAACAGACTACTCAGTATATTCGGTATATTTGATCTGACAGTGAGTCAGATGATGTAATCCATATAAACTTTAAGTTCAGTTGATAACAGATCAAATTTATTCATAACATATCTTTGATGATCACGTCTCACGTGGAGGAGGCCCATCCTCACGTCTCGTTCTGTCATCTGAGGTGACAGCCTGACAGCAGCGTGTTTATTAACGTTCCTCCGAGGGTCAAGAAGACAATTGAATCCACAGAGTCACGTGTAAATCCTGATCTTTTCCATGTAGCCTGCACTCAGCCAGCACCGAATTGACTTTGACAATTACAATAACGGGATAATTGCAATCTGTCACCATACATTCACGTTAGCATATCACGAAATAACCAATTCCAGCGTGAGTCAGTCCACACACACACACACACACACACACACACACACACACACACACACACATGTCCCTGATCTGCATAACACACACAACACCCCGCTTTGTAATTAGAAATGAATTTCACGGTGTGAGGCTTTTAATGCAAATAATATGGATCCCCCCCCTCACTGACAGGACTGTGTGTGTGTGTGTGTGTGTGTGTGTGTGTGTGTGTGTGTGTGAGGATCAGATTGCAGCCAAGCTTTGTTTGAGTAGCCTCCCCTCTCAAATGAGTTAATGGGATGGAAGTTATTTGCCACCCTGAGCTTTCAATGTGAGGTTGAGCAGAAGCATTGAATAAAAAAAAAATTTAAAAAAGGAGGCGTCAATAAATGTGCTGGAGACAATGAACTAAAATACACATGAGCAGGACGAAGACAGACAGATGGAGCCTCAGTGTGTGTGTGTGTGTGGAGGCCTGCTCGCTGACAGGGTCCCCATCAGTGCAGGATCAGAGAGGGGAAATTGGAGGACAATGGCGAGAGAGGGGTGTTGGGGGATAATTTAAAGCGATTGGGGAGGCGGTGTCCCAGAGGTGCATAATTCACTCATTCATTAACTCCACCAAACAGGAGCCAATATTAATTAACTCGTTCCTCGTGCCGAGACGCCCCCGAGAAGCTCGGTGCTTTGTTGTCGAATGGCCACGTCGGTTCTTGGATGTGAAGGCTTTAAAATCAGAGGTGACAGGCCTCAGGGTGGTGGGGGGGGGGGGTGTTAAACCTGGTGTCATTGTGTATCTGAGTGTAGTTTTTTTTTTAAACTCTTCAATTGATAAATGATAAACAATAATTAGAACATTTGTTCTTGAGTCATCAAAGTCTTTAAATCCACGTTCTGCTGCTTTATGTTTGTGCTCTGCTGCAGTTCAGGCAAATATCTGACTTCATACTCAATGTTTGTCACTTTATTATAAAAGATATGTTGGATTTATATATCACAACACTTTGAAAAGGGGTTAATCTGCATAATGAGTATTTTACTTTATGATAAGTAAATTTTTTCTGATGCGATTTTTGTACGTATTTTGAATGCAATGTAATTGTACATTGTACTTATACTTATTATTATTTTCAGGTACTTTTACTCTTACTTTATTGATTATCAGCTGTATCTGTTAAGTGTAACTAAGTTTACAAGTGCAGTATTTTTTATGCATTGCATGTATTAGAAAAGTCAAAATATCAGCTGAGGTGGAAAGTTAGAAAGTACATTTATCCAGGTACCGTAGTTAAGGACAGTGTTGAAGTACTAACTGAGAAACATTTAAACTGTTGGTAGTTTTTTTTTCTCACTCTGTTGAGAACAGATTGTACAGATTGTTCATCACTATGAGATATTTTGATTATACTTCTACTTCATGACATGTCAGACAGAAATATATTTATATTTATGTCACGCTGCATTTCAGAGCATGTTTAGTGGTACTCATTACAACAATACTTTACGATAACTCTAACTGAATTATTTGACTTGTAGGTTGAAGATACAAAACATAAGATAAAACAAAAAACTCCACCCACTCTTACACATGTATACATCAAAACAATAAAATATATAGAAAAAATGTTTTGAGAAATTATTTCAACACCAACAATAATGAATGATAATAATAAAATAAAAATGTAGTAATGTTCAATAATAAAACTGAAAAAAAAAAACCTCTCTCACACACGCACGCACGCACACACGCCCCCTGTTTGACTTCCTGGCCCTCTCCTCCACAGGGGGGCGCTCCTCCCCTGACTCTCACCCTGCTGTCAGGCCCTGCTAACTTTGATTAAGGTTTAAATTGGCTGAATTTAATGAACGTTGCCTAATTAGGCAGGATAACAGCTTTAATTGATAAGTAATTATCTGCCACAAATTGTTATTAATTCTCCAGCTCTGTCTGATAGTGTGGTGACTCTAAACCCTCCTCCCCTCCCCATCTCTCCCCCCTGCATCCCCCCACTCCCCCTCCTCCCCTTTAGCATTTTGTATTTATGTAAACAAGCGGTTGTAAACAATTAGGCATATGTTAGGAAGGGATATTCCGGAGGGTATCATTAGGCTGTGCTTGGTGGACTGGCAGTTTATGTGAAATTATTTGCTCTCACTGAATGATATCTCCGAGCATTAATTGCTTAAACTGTCCTGTCATTTTGGCGGCGTGCCATCGACCACATGCTGCCGTGAGCTGCAGAAAAAACACAACATGAGAAACACGGCAACAAAAGTGGTTCTTTCCCAATCAAGAGAGGTGAACTATAATTTCAGAGTAAAAGAGAGGGCTTTTCATTTTGTTGGTTATTCCTCAAATAAAAACGACCCTGATCATCCACTGCAGTCACGTAGTTTCATTATGTAATTTAAGTCTCATGGAATAAACGGTATGATATGTTTTCTGATGTAGATTTATTCGTATTTATTCACATTGTTTTTAAAGGTCCAGTGTGTAAGATTTGGGTGAAAGGGAACTATTGGCAGAAATTTCATGTAGAATAATCCTCATGATGTTTTCACTAGTTCATTTCATCTAAATTGTATGAATTGTAGTTTTCTTTACCTCAGAAAAGACCCTTTATATTTAAATACTTTATATTTACATGGAGGATGGAGGCCGCCATGTTTTTTACATGAGTCCAGACTGGACAAACTAAACACCTTTTGAGTTTTTATACAACTGAAGCTACCACAGGTTGTTTTTCATGTTACGAAGGAGAGGGGGAGGTGAGGGGTGTTCAGCTGCAACATGACACTTCAACACTAGATATCACAAAATTCTACACACTGTACCTTTAAGTGCAATGTCCATTCAAGAGTGAAATCAAAACACTTTCCACACGATCTTCTGTCCGGTTGTTATGAGAGTCTATGTAAAGTCTGGAAACTTAAGAAAACCCAGAACTGTAGGATAGATATTTTGTAAATGTCACCACATTATCTTCTTTGTGTAAAAGGGCATTAAAGTGTCACACAGCTGTAGCACATAAATTCAGTTCATGTTGTCCACTGAAGAGGTCACGTGTTATTTAATTAAACCAGGTTGAGTCTTTGTTCTGATACAAGTCAACACTGGACGTGTTCGCTGTGGTTCAGATCTTCAAACTCATAAAACATCTAAAAAACCAAATAGTATCATCCATTCTCTCTGAACGTTCACAATGTACACAGGGAAAACTGCTCTCTACTCAACTGGCAAATATTTACAGAGTTGACAAACTGTGATAAAACCAGCACTGTGTAAAAATTAACGAAAAATTTAATTTTCTGATTTGATGATCCTTGTTATGTGCAATGCCTTCCCTTATGGATTAAGTATAACAATAAAGAGCATACATGTGGATATATTTACACGTCATGCATTGTTCAGTAGATTACCAATAATTAAATAAATCAATAAACAGAATAAAATGAAGCTTGTACCTGATGCGATTATCAAAGTTTGGGTATTTAACATTCCAGCCTAATGTTCAGGGAACCTTGTGTAACACCGATGTGTATTAGATTAAATACATTTAAATACTAAGTCAACGTAAATGGTGTTTATATAGTAAATTGAAATTCCAAGGGTCAGGAGACACAAGGTGAGAAAATGAAACACAGACGGAAAACACCTTTGTTTCATACAGCGTCCGTCCGTCTGTTTCAGAGCGAGCTATTCATTAAAGTGGTTTAAATGAGATGTGCATGAACTTGTTGCCTAATTAAAACATCTTTCCTGGTTTACAGAGTGGCTTTAAGCTGAGCTCGGTGGTGGGAGACGAGGAAGGGGAGGGAGGGAGGTGACTTTCTCCTCCCTAATTCCACCCCTCCACTGTTTCTCTCTGAGCAGATGGTTTTGTTGGGCTCCAGTAGCCAGCCAGTGGCCAAATGGGCTGATCCATTCTTCCTCTATATGCCCATCAGAACTGGGCATGTGTCCCACCCACCCCCACCCCCACCCCCACCCCCACCCC